ATTTGTTATTGGCTATGGTAGGTTATTGGTTATGTTCACATACTTATTTGATTACATCCACTGATTTCGACCCAAACCCAGCTGTTGACTTGTGGATGCAAGCAGCTAATCGCAGACTCAACCAGAGAGGAAGTAGTAGGCCTACATCATCAGCTACCATGTCTGACAGAGAGGAAGACAGTGAGGAGAACAGTCAGGAGGGTAGTGATGACAGCTTGTAGGATTACTGGTCGTGCTAATGTTGTCTTGTGTTCACCTCTGCATGTGTGTTCTGTGTGCACCTCTGCATGTGTGTTTAGTGCCGTGTGTCTGGCAAATAAAGTCAAGACCCCCTAAAAAGTTACGGTTTATTTCATTTTAAGGATGAGCACCAAGCAACATCTCCAGGTGCTCCTTTGAGAACCAGGGCAAAAAAGTTATGTGCACCCCTGATTATAACGCACTTTACTCAAGACTAGACAAATGTCACGACTCTTGTGAACTTCACATCTACTGAAATCTTTTTAGTAGTGCAACTTGACCTCAATATTTTAGAACTCTCTCTACAGGAGCCAGTGAACAATACATTTTATTAGCAGGATATGGATAGTAAAGCCTGCTTATTACAGTATGCTACATTGGAATAACCAAATGTAGGATCATTTTTGGTCCTACATCTCGTGTTGTTTTTGCAATATGATGCAAAGGAGAGTCTTGTATACAAGCATCACCATATGCTTGGGGGCAGAGGGACTCACACAACTTTACAAAATCAACTTTGACAAGTTTTTTCATTTCAAAGAAGAGTCCTTGTCTCTCTGTGTTTATAGATTTGATCACCCCTGTATCCTTTTGTTTCAAAGACATGCGAGTTGATGAATGTCAGGTAAAGACATTTTTCTGAAGCTGTTTTAGTCCACAGCTCTTCAACAATCATCCCCATGACTCATTGTGACTTAATAGCTTCTAACTGTTTTTCTTTACTTTTGGCAACTTTCACACCATACCTGTCTCACCCACACACATTGGGACGTGGACAATTTTGGTGCAGGAATATCACTATATTGTCTGAAACAATATGCAATGCATTTAAAAATTCCAGTGCCATGTGCCTCCTCCTCTTCTTCTTCAGAGCGGTGGCGGTAACGTAGGCGGCTAATTATTTTCTCTCCCTCTTCAGAATCACTTGATTGCATGTCTTTGAATTGTGAAAGCGGCTGAAAGGAAATGTGCTGTCATATTCACATCATAAATGTTATTATTCTGCACACATAGCGCTCAGACACAAGGTTGACATTTTCTAATTAAATGTTTCCTTAAGCTGTGTACATCTCCCTGGGAAGTCTGCAAGACGCAGAGGCCCTCACTGCCAAGATGAAAGAACTCATTATTTTCCCTTGCCCACTATCGCCCTCATGTTTCTCCCCTTTTTATCCAGATAACAGAACTATTCCATTTAATCAATGCTGCCTGCTGGAGTACAGCAGAGCAGCCGCGGTCAAGAAAATGCACCTCAACAACTAAGCATAAAATTCAATTCTGCCCCCCTCCCCCAAAACAAACAGGCACGCAGAGCAGCGGTGCATTCATCATTGCTGTTTCTGGTTTGACAACTCGCTCTGTTTTTAGTATTACAATCATAAGCTCTGAATTGGATAAGGGCAGCAGGAGAGGTTGAAAAATGGAAACACAATGGATTTGGTCCGCCACCAACAGAAAAAAAAGCCCTTTCCTGTGCGGCTGGAAATGATAGCACTGCACAGAAGTTGCAAGGAGTCGGAGATTATATTCTAATCCTCCACTCACACTTTAGTGGCTGTGTTTTAATGGAGCCCATGGGCATTGTTAGAAAAAAACCATAATATGGAAATGATTTGACCAAGCCAAAAATAAGAGAAAAGAACGACAGTGGAACTTTTTGGGCTTTTTTTTTTTTTTTAAGTGGATTGCTGTGATTAGTGACAAAAAAGGCCGATCAGTTCCACATCAAAAGCCAGATGTACCAAACGTTACTTGATCTATTAACATGGGATCTATGTTTCAAAACCAGCGTATCTCTGTGCTGCTCACAGGATTCAGTTTGAAACTCCATCTGATATCCCACTGACAGGCTGGCAATCCTCAATCAAAAGCCGGGAGCATTAGTTACATTATCTGTCGCTGCAAACTGTGCCGCTCCTTTTATTCACAGAAAAAATGTTTCATGTTTCATTTTTTCTTGGTGGAAAAAAGACGACTTCTATAGTTTTTGTACACTCCAGCTAGCATTGAGTTTCCAGATAAGTCGCCTTGGAATCAGTTCTCTCGGCAGGATCAGCAGGGTGTTGAAGTTTGCTTTGCAACTGAAAGCTGTTATTGCAAACATTTCGGTTAGCATAGGCAAATGTTATCTTAAAGAGCTGAAGAAAGGAAGTTTGGTGAGCAGAGTCCTGGAAAATACTTTGACGGGAACATCACAGACGATGTGTCCAGAGGAATCGATAGATGTACACAGAAAATGTTGTTTAACAGCCTGTATCATGGTTCATTTCTGTCCACAGTCTTTCACCTCAGCTGTTTATATTTCACCCTCTTGCCACAGAGAAGGATAAAAGTCTGGTTATGGGCAGTTTCTCACACAGTTAATGTTGCATATATTGATGTTTGGGGGTAGAAGAACCAATAAAGGCTGATTGACACACATCATCAAATATTATTGCCTTTAATGTATTTGGCCCTAGGGGTTTTTAAATTCTGACACTCCGCCTAACCCCTTCGGAAAAAAATCAACATGTTGGGAATAGCAACCATTAAAAGCATGTTGAATTGCCGTTCTAGTATGCAATGTACTCTTGAAAATGCAACGAAATCCCTGGTTTGACGATACCCCGGCCCATTCTGGACTCATACGGAGCATCTTTTTGGTCTATTCTAAATGCATTTGTTATCAGCACAGTTCTACTGAATCTAAACTCTTGTGTTTCACATTGTTCCGAATGACTCAAAGATTGTTAGGTTTTTGCAGTAAATTGCTCCAATCAGCCACTAATGGTTTTCAAGTACCTCAGTTTCCTCCATGAACCACTGCTGCAGCTTCAACTGTGGACCACATTGTTAAGAAAATCAAATCAGAAGTAACTCTTTGTTCTTTCCATCTTTCACAGTGCCTTGCTTTGTGGCCCACTCTCTGTGACCTCCTTCAAATGCAACTTCAACAGCATGACGCATATGCATCATGAGGTAGGAATGCCATATGACTTGAACCATAAATGTACAAGTATGTCCTTACTTGGAATGGAAGAAAAATATACTTACTTTCATTGTTTTTCCTATGGACAAGAAGTTACATTTTGGGCAGTTGTTTTATAATGTAGAACTCTTGTGCAACTATTGAGGTCATTTTTTCATTTGTTTAATTCATTTCCATCTTACACACAACAGTTCACCAAGATATTGCTACTTTGACCTCTGTATACTAAAGTCTGTAGGCACTCTATACTGAGATAGGTGCCATTTGAACATTCAGGTCATGCTGTGTTAAATCTATCATATTTAATAAAGAAAAGGCCTCTGGGCTTCGGCTGACTGTACATAACATATTATTCTCCTCATTAGATCGATTCAGTGAATGTGTAACTTCTAAACACCAGTTCAAGATAAAAGAAGTCTAGTTTTGGACACTTTTCACCTGTAACCTAATACAGCTTTATCTTTCTAACCAATCATAAAGCCAGTTGAGTAGCACTTAAAACGGTTTGGCTCTATGAAACCTGATGTACTTATATGATTCTGTTTTCTTCAAGTTTGTATCTTCCTGGTCGAATGCACTTATTGTAAGTCGCTTTGGATAAAAGCGTCAGCTAAATGCAATGTAATGTAATGATCACATGAGTGTGCAGGCATTGAGATAAATGTCTCACAGACGCATAACGGTTACTTGCTGAGTGGAATGGGCCTTCTGACGAACATTGTTAAATTACAACAAAGCTTGCACACAGGAGCGAGAAGACCTTCAAGCCGCAGACTGTAGATGCCACCCTGCCTGTTTCCATGTAGCTCTCTGCTGGGAGTTTAAGCAGCATGGCAGGCAAACATGATCCAAATGGTTCATGAAGGAAGGGATTGCTTGAAGTAAAGCTCAAGGCAAAGTTTAAATGAAAACAGCAATGAACCACCAAGACATTACCTTTACAGGCAAACGGTTATTTGGTTAGCTTTAAGGCACTTTAATAGAGAAGTACTCGCTGTGGTGAACTGTGCTCTACATATATTGTGACTTAAATACTAAATCAACTGACTGCCTGTAATTATAAAGGGGCACATCACCGCTTTCAACAATAAGTTCAAGTTATATTGTCCCAAGGGTTAGTGCATAATGAGTTATTTATTATGTCTCTGGCTCTAAATATGGCTTCCCAAAAATGTGAAACCCGAATGATGATAGTGCTTTGAGAAACAACACGTATTACTCATTATAGCAACGTTTGTGATTTTGTTTTTGTTTTGTTGGTATGACCTCAGTCGAGGGTCAAGCAAACTTGACAGATATTTGATTTAATTGACTTGGGCTGTGGGAAGTTTGCGTGTGTATAACTGTGAGGTTTTATGAGGGAAAGATTCTGGCGAAAATAGTCTTTTGTGTAGCAATGCAGTGCAAACATTGACAATTTGTAAAAACTGAAAATAACTTCAGTTGTTTAGGGTTAGCTAACTTCCTGCACTCTAGTTGTGGAATATTGCTGAATGCAGCCCTAGGTCTGCAAATCTACTCTGTGGGGGGAAAGAAGTAGCGAGTATATGTGTGGTTAGAGTTGCGGTCAGCAGTGTGAGAGCAGCACTGTTCGAAGTAATTTAGCTTTACTGCCTCTACGCTTGGTGCAGTGTTTCTCCGTGACCGATCCATCTTTACGGAGGTAAATATATACATCACACTCCCGTGGCGAACTGTGCTGGGGGTACATTTGTAAAAGTGTTGCTCTTTTTGTGTGTGGGTGTGTGCTCATGTATGTTTGTGCATACATGTGTTCCCCTGTGTCCTGTAGACTCTCAGGGTTTTGGATATTCCGTCTAAGTGACTGTGTGCAGCTTCAAAGCCACATTCATAGAGTAATGTCCATGCAGGTATCAGGGGATCTGACTGTGAAGAAACTGCCCGACTGTGGTAATGAGTGTCTTCCTTGTTGGAATAATGCTTAATACTAAAACCGACTGGAATGATTCATACTTGCCCAGAACAGTCCGCTGAGCTCCCACCCACCACAGCGTGAATACAGGCTGCAGCAGCACATTGAGGAATGTTATGCTTTTTACTCTGCTGTGTGTGTGTGTGTGTGTGTGTGTGTGTGTGTGTGTGTGTGTGTGTGTGTGTGTGTGTGTGTGTGTGTGTGTGTGTGTGTGTGTGTGTGTGTGTGTGTGTGTGTGTGTGTGTGTGTGTGTGTGTGTGTGTGTGTGAAGAAGCAGCAATGCAAAAAGGCCTCACACAGAGCCTGGATAATAAAATTACCCCTGGAGAAATTAGCACATAATGTTCTCAAATTATAATTCGTAACGTTCTTTTTAAGGCTTGTTAGCGCCATGGTTGGCTGTTTTACGAAAAAAGGGCCCCACGGAGAGTGTTGAGTATTAAAGGGTATACATGCAGGCAGTTAGTACAGATGCACCCCAGAAAGATGTGGCAGCTACTTATCCTTTTGTCTCGGTGCTCTGCCCACAAACAGCCATCTGAACATGCAAATGATTCACATGGAGAGTTCATTACTCCATATATTTGGACTGTTGACAGCAAAATACGTTTGGAATAATTGAGGTCGAGTCATGTCACATCAACTGGAGTCATTTCATTATTTCTTTCTGATAAAATTATGATCAGGCACTCATCATTGTGTCATAAATGTGTTAATGTACAAAATAGGACAAAGCTCACTCCCACTGCCTTTGAGTTCTTCTACATTAATGCATTTCTAGGGCGCTTTCATATTCCAATTATAATATATAATGTGGTTTAATTTAAAGGAGAAACCAGACTTTGAATAATGAATGGGCTCCTGTCGATCAAAAGCACACCTCTCAGAGTTGTGGTGTAGCTTTCCATCCACCTTTTAAAACTTTTGAACGATCACTCAATATATTCCATGTACACAGGGGCGCTCCTTGCGAACAGACAAGGCATGCAACAGCTTGGGGCCCCGTACCAGAAGGGGCCCCCCAAAGAAGGTAGATTAAGAAGGTCCACAGCAACGACAACATGAAACACCCTTTAATTTACTGCAACGACATGATGGGAATCCCCCTCAAGGCGGCCCCATGCATAGCGCTCTGTAAAATGCTGCTTCTCATCTTAAGTTTTGTTGCCCTGCTCCGCTCCGGGGGGGGGGGGTAGGGTGCCGTCGGCTGTGCGTGGTGATAAAAAGCTGGTTCGAGGGGCCCCCAGTGAATGTTTGCCTAGGGCCCCCACTGACTCTAAGATCGCCATTTAATTAACTTTCACAAAGTGAAACGCACTGAAAGGATTACATTTTTAGAGTAAACACAGAGCACAAAAAACAGAAAACATTGGTAGCAACTTGTCAATCACAAGGCACTTGCACACTAATTTATTTTCCATTTTGCATAATTTACAATACGGACATCATGCTGTATTGGAAAAAGTCTTCCAACTATACAATGAGACCAGCATTTTGTCAGGAAAATGTAAATTAATGTAATAAATCAAGTAAGACATAGGGTCATTTTCTCAGACTTCTATACAATCAGACTGTTTATGTTACCAGAGCAACCGTCTCCTGCTGGCTATTTAAAACAATGCAGTTTAATGCACTTCCTCACGTGTTCACTTTTCAGACCTGCAGTTACTGTTAACAACGAGAACAGATTAAGTTCCCCAATACATCCTTAACAGTTTTTTCTTTAAAATAAGCATGAACGAGAAATGAATAGGTCCGACAATGCTATAAACTTTACTCATAAATAATTTAACTCCTCTCAGCACACAGTTGTAACTGTATCAAACCAGTTTTGAACAAACGCAAATTACTCCTCAAACTAATATTGTTGCTAGCAAATTATTTTAATAACTCCATTGTTACGACTGGAGCACACAAAAACTGATAGGATCCAAATGCACGACTCTAGACAAAAGATGATTCAAAAAAAGGTTTTACTGTGATGATAAAACAAGGTAATCCATTCACAAGGTTCAAAACGATCTGGCACTTGGCACAGTGTATATACAAAAGCAAGGGACTCCACAGGTGCAAACAATAAGGGCGGGGCAGGTAATCAGGTCAGTGGACAAACAGGCAAGGTAGGAATCGAACTACCTGAAATGAGAAGGGAAATGACAAAGTAAAACAGGAAATGGCAGACACGGACTTGACAATATAGACTCACAGAGAAATAATACTAACAGATCTGACGAGACACAACAGTACCCCCCCCTCTACGGCCGACTCCGGACGGCCCAGAGTCCTGTGGATTAAGTCTGAAAAAGTCCTTTATCAGTTTCTGATCCACAACTAAACTTGCTGGTACCTACGACCGATGTTCTGGACCGTATCCTTTCCAGTCTACAAGGAACTGTCGGCCGCGTCCTCTCTTCCTGACTGCTAGCAGTTTCTTGACGTCATATATCAGACCGACCTCTAACATCCGGGGTGGAGGAGGAGGCTTGGATGGAGGAACCAAACGACTCTCCCGAACCGGTTTGACTTTGGCAACATGAAAGGTCGGATGGACTCTCAAGGACCTGGGCAGGCGCAGGCGAACAGCAACCGGGTTAACAACTTTCATTATGGGAAACTGACCCACAAACCTCGGAGCCAGCTTCCTGGAGGCCACACACAGGGGCAGATCTCTTGTAGATAGCCAAACCTTCTGTCCGGGTTTGTAGGCAGGTGCCGGACGACAATGTCGATCTGCTGTCTTTTTCATGCGAGCAGCACTCTTCAGGAGAACCTGGCGAGGTCCTGCCCAGACTCTGCAACACCGCCTCACCAGGGCATGTGCTGACGGTACAGTCACTTCCTTCTCTACTTCTGGAAACAGAGGAGGTTGGTAACCATAGGCGCAGTGAAAAGGGGAGAGACCCGTGGCAGATGTAGGTTGGGTGTTGTGGGCATACTCTACCCATATCAGCTGCTTGCTCCAAGTTGTGGGATTCTGGGACACCAGACACCGTAAACACGTCTCCAGTTCCTGGTTGATCCTCTCTGATTGACCATTAGCCTGTGGGTGGTAACCAGATGTGAGGCTGGGAGTGGCTCCTATCAGGCTGCAGAATTCCTTCCAAAACTGGGAAACGAACTGCGACCCACGGTCTGACACCACATCTCGAGGAAATCCATGCAGCCTGAAAACATGAGACAAGAGCACTTCTGCTCTTTAGCAGAGGGAGATTTGGGCATGGGGATAAAGTGAGTCATTTTGGTGAATCTGTCAACAACAGTGCAGATGGTGGTGTTACCTGCAGAGGGCGGCAGTCCAGTGACAAAATCCAGCGAGATGTCAGACCATGGGCGGCTTGGAATGGACAAAGGTTGCAGTAGACCCATAGGAGACTGGGTAGAGGTCTTATTCCGAGCACATGTAGTGCAGGCTGCCACATACTCAGTAACCTCCTTCTCCATTTTAGGCCACCAAAACCTTTGCTTTATCATGTACATAGTTCGTCTGATACCTGGATGACATGTTAATACAGATGTGTGAGCCCAGTGAATCACGTCAGAGCGGACAGATGGGGGAACAAAGAGGCGGTTAGGGGGGCCACCACTGGGTACGGTTTTTCCCTCTAAAGCTTGATTTACCTTAGCCTCAATTGGCCATGTCACCCCTCCTATCACCTGAGTGGGCGGTAAAATGGACTCGGTCTCCTTGGAAAGAGCCTCTGGGTCAAAAAGCCTGGATAACGCGTCTGGTTTGGCGTTCTGTGAGCCAGGACGGTAGGAGAGAGTGAAGTTAAACCTATTGAAGAATAAGGTCCATCGTGCCTGTCTGGAGTTTAACCTTTTAGCCTTGCGTATGTACTCCAAATTGTTGTGGTCTGTCCACACAATAAATGGCTGTTTTGCCCCTTCTAGCCAGTGCCTCCACTCATCCAGTGCTACCTTCACGGCTAATAACTCTCTATTGCCTACATCATAGTTCCGTTCAGCCGCAGTCAACTTACGGGAAAGGTAGGTACATGGATGGAGCTTACTGTCTTTCTCTGCCCTCTGTGAGAGGACCGCCCCGATGCCCTCGTTGGAGGCATCCACCTCCACCGTGAACTGACGTTGGGAATCCGGGATGGTAAGTATTGGAGCTGTAGTGAAAACTTTTTTTAACTTCTGGAAGACCTGGTCTGCCTGTGGGGTCCACACAAACTGAACAGAAGGAGAGGTGAGTACATGCATAGGAGCGGCAATAGAACTAAAATTCCTAACAAATTTTCTGTAGAAGTTTGCAAATCCAAGGAATTGTTGGACTTTTTTCCTGGAAGAGGGTGTGGGCCATTCAGCCACAGCGCTCACTTTAGCAGGATCCATCATTATCTGGTAGGACCCAGGATGAAACCCAGAAATGAAGTGGAACTGACGTGGAACTCACATTTTTCATCCTTGACATAAAGTTGATTGTCCAACAACTTTCTTAATACCTGACGAACATGCGAAACGTGTGAACCTTCATCACGGGAAAAAAAATAAATAAATCAGGATATCATCAAGATAGACAAAAACAAAATGATTCAAAAATTCCCTCAACACATCATTTATGAGAGCCTGAAAAACGGCAGGTGCATTTGTTAGACCAAAAGGCTTTACCAGATACTCATAATGTCCACTTGGAGTGTTGAAACCAGTCTTCCACTCGTCCCCCTCCCGTATCCTCACAAAGTGGTAAGCGTTACGCAGGTCAAGTTTTGAAAAAACTCTAGCTCCTTTCAACAGTTCAAACGCTGAGGTCATAAGCGGGAGGGGGTACCTGTTCTTGATGGTTATGTTGTTTAGGGGGCTGTAGTCGATGCAAGGTCTCAGGGATCCATCTTTCTTCTCAACGAAGAAAAAACCAGCTCCGGCGGGAGATGACGAGGGACGGATAA